AATTCAAAGAATATTTCACTGGCAAAATAAATGTGATTTATGAGACAGCAAAGTTTAACTCCAGGAAACAAGAGCCAGATGAACCAGTTAATGATTTTATCACTGCACTGTATTCATTGTCAGAACGCTGTGCTTTTGGAACTCTGAGAGACGAACTTATAATAATATCACAGAATGTCAGTGGCAAAATAAATATCCAGAACTTTTCACAGGTTTAGGTGAGCTGAAAGAGGAGTACTGTATCATGTTACAGCCCAATGCAACACCTTACTCTGTGAATGTAGCAAGAAGGATCCCAGTACCATTGATGGAAAAAGTTAAAGAGGAGTTATCCAGGATGGAGAAGCTCGACATCATCAAGAAGGTGGAGGGACCTAGTGACTGGTGTTCAGGTATGGTTCCAGTACTTAAGCCTGACAACACGGTGAGAATTTGTGTTGACCTGACAAAACTGAACAGCGCCGTCAGACAAGAGAAGTTTATTTTGCCGTCAGTAGACCACACACTACGCCAGTTAGGTAGAGCAAAAATCTTCACGAAGATAGATGCCAATTCTGTATTTTGGCAGATCCGTTTGGCTGAAGAGTCCCAACCGTTGACCACCTTCATCACGCCATTTGGGCGTTATTCCTTTAAGAGGCTTCCATTTGGGATCTCCAGTGCTCCAGAGCTGTTCCAGATGAGAATGTGTCAGATTTTGGAAGGCCTAGAAGGAGTAACATGTCACATGGATGACATCCTCATATATGGAAGTTCTCCTGAGGAACATGATATCAGACTTGACGCAGCATTAAAGAAGCTCCAGAGTGCTGGGCTAACGCTTAACAAAAAGAAGTGCGAATTTGCAAAGACAGATGTCAAGTTCCTAGGCCACAAGCTATCCTCAGATGGTTTACAGCCTGATCCAGACAAACTGGCTGCAGTTCAAAATATGCGTGAGCCTACCAATGTGTCTGAGGTACGCAGCTTTCTTGGAATGATGAACCAATTGGGGAAGTTCATTCCAGACCTGGCCGAGAAAACAAAGCCCTTGCGAGATCTCCTCTCACAGAGAAGTCTGTGGTCCTGGGACGCACCACAGCAGGAGTCATTCGCATTGCTATAAAAAGAGCTTATCACAACACCAACTTTAGCACTCTTCGATCCAAGCAAGGAAACTAAAGTCGCAGCAGATGCATCATCCTTTGGTCTGGGAGGAGTGATTATTCAAAAGTCCAGTGATGCATGGAAACCCATTGCATATGCGTCTAGAGCATTAACTCCAACTGAGCAGAGATATGCTCAGATAGAGAAGGAGACCCTAGCTCTTGTTTGGGCATGTGAACGTTTCAGCTGCTATCTCATTGGGAAACATTTCCTTCTCGAGACGGACCATAAGCCACTTCTGAGCTTACTGAGCACAAAACATCTGGATGACTTACCACCAAGGCTACAAAGGTTCAGAATGAGACTTATAAGATATTCTTACGAGATCAGCCATGTTCCAGGGAAACAGTTCACAACTCCAGACACACTGTCAAGGATGCCCTCTATGAGTGATGTAAAGGATGCTGACTGAACTCTCATGGAAGACACTAATATTTACCTCTCCCAAATAGGGAAAAGCTTCCCTGCTTCAAAGAGCCGCCTAGACAACATTCAACATGAGTTAAAGAAAGACCCTGTATGCAGCCAAGTAATGAGGTTCCATGAGCATGGATGGCAAATATTAAACCGCAAAACGATTCATATTTAAATATGAATTCTGCGTGTCTCTGTGTTAATTAGACATGCTAAAACAGAATTTGGTTACAATAAAACATAAGGTTGGAAAAATAAAACATTTCATAGGGCCCTAAACATGTAATATTTGTTAAACTTTTAATAAATTTATGTTAAATTGTTTAAGTTTTATGATTTTAATTAATTAGACATGCTTTTTAATTAATAAAATGTAATTTAACCATTAAAAAGGAGCTGTGGCGACTTCCGGGAGTTTTCAAGGGAGTATGACTTTAAGCACATAACAAGCAGCCCACGGTATCCACAAGGAAATGGCGAAGCCGAAAGAGCGGTACAAACCGTCAAAAAGCTCCTGGGGAAAACATCAGATCCATTCAAAGCTTTGCTTGCATACCGTTCTACACCACTTGCAAACGGCTGCAGTCCAGCGAAATTGCCAATGGCAGACTGAGAACAGGCTTAACAACTCTGCCGTCTCTTCTCACACCAAAACTTCCAGACGCAGATGCAGACAAACTGAAACAGTTTGAATCCAGTCAACGTGCTCGCCCAAGACATTCATACAATAAGAGACATAGAGCTAGATCTTTGTCACCACTAAAACCTGGACAGACTGTTTGGATTAGAGACCAAGCCATCCCTGGGAAAGTGTTCCGACAGCAGGCCCCAAGGTCGTTTGTCTTGAAAACCTCGCATGGAAAATATTCGACGCAACAGACGGGCGTTGGTGCGACTCCACCACCCTGAAGCAGATAAGGAGCAAGCAGTTGATTGGCCAGAGTTATTTGAGGATGATCATGTATCTGACAGTCAGATGCCAACAGTCCGTCAACCATCTCCAAGTTCGCAGTCTGCCATACCTACCCGACATGGAACTTACACAAGGTTGGGACGTTTGTCTGTTCCACCAAGACGAATTAACCTTTAGTCCATGGCCGGTGATCACAGAGGCAGAATAATCCTCTCACTGTGCCAGGAGTGCTCAGGTAGTCCACCCTGACCTCCTTAGAAAGAAAAAAAAAAGGAGAACACAATGTTAATGTGGAAAAAAAAACTGTGTGAAATGTATGATAATATGAAAGAAAAATTGTTGTGATAAAGGATGTTATTCAAGCAATCATTTTCCTGTACATTAGAGAAGCATAGCATGTATATGCTTAGAATTGGTTAAAAATGGTTACAGTATGTTTATTATGCCACTATAGTAAAATTCTTGGGTTCACAAAGTTCATTGTTTGGGGAAGGGGAGATGTAGTGATATCTGATTAGTGAGATAGCTATTGAGGAGCCACGCCCCTAAGCAGGGGGTTTGGTACTGAGCGAGTGTTCAATAAAGTTCAGTTATGTACTTGCTACGCTGTGAGATCAGTACGCTGCCTCGGCTCATCCACGAACACAACATAGAGCAGCTGATGATTGCTGAACTTGCTTGCAGCGTGCCGGTTAGAGCAGTTTTCTCGTTTTTGAGTCAAGAACCGGTTGCATCGGTTTTCGGATCACCGGTACACTGAACCGAGAACTGTTCCTTTCGGACACGTCCGATTTGAGAACCGATGAGCTGATGATACTGCGCATGCGTGATTCAGCGTGAAGCTACCGAACAGTACATGATTGCCTACGATGACTGACACAGCACGTCTGAACCGAACTGGTTCTTTTGGACAACTGATTCTGTGCTAAGAAGCTTGTTTGAGATGCGCCTCGCCTCACCTGAAATGTAGGCAAGAGTAGGCGGCTGCAGTGAGGGGAGGAGTGAAATAAGCGCAGTCAAGACGGACAGTTCTACCCTTTCTAAGTGGAGCAGATACCTACGAGATCAAAGACAGATATGCATTATTCACACTCACGTGCTGTGTTGCTAATAGACATGATATAATTTCAGTTTTGTTGCCTTTATATAAAAATAAATATGATGAACAAGACACTCAAAGTGCTTGCTTGTGAGCGCGAGTTAACCGAGGACTTGAATGAAGGGCAATCTGGCGAAACGTAAATTTGTTTAATAACAAATAAATCGCAATGGATTATGTATAGTAAGTGGATTTGTATCTAAACATAACTTTATTCTTTTATTCCTCATTATTAATTAATGTTATAGGCCTCCAGTTGTCAAGAAGCAAACAGTCCTTATTGGGTTTAGGTAATGTAATTAAAGCGTTCCATTTCGTTCAACCTGTCCTCCAGACCAGTTATTCTCTTCTGTTGATCATCACTTATCTTCTTAACCGTTGTTATTTCTGTTTTCATGTCTTGAACTTCGTTGAAGAGAAACTCTGATGATTCCTTTAAGGCTTCGATGGTGTCTGCATTTTTCTTTATCAAGCTTGCAAGATTGTCCGCATTCTCTTTTATTTTTTCAGCCACAAGTCTCACAATGTTGTCGGGACGATAGACTTAATATCATTAAGTCATCGCGAATGACGTCATTACGTTAGGGCGTAAAAGAACCGATGAACCGTTTTTTTTTTTTGAACCGGTTTATTGAAACGAACTGTTCGAAAGAACCGGTTCGCGGAAAAGAACCGGACTTCCCATCACTAGTGGCTTTCCGTCGGCATACTCACATAAAATTTGTGAAAGGTATTACGGGGCTCTGGGGTCACGTTCTTTATTTCCTGTGTCTTTTAAATCACATTACTACACAGTATACATTTTTGATTAAATGCAAGATTAATCTGTAAAAGTATACACCTCTATTTGTCATTTTGTCCTGTAAATGAGATTTATAAGGGGATTATGCTTCTTACTATATGCTCTCCTACATATCCATTAATGAAAGCACGCTGGGTCAGGTCGCACGTGCTTCTATCTTAGAGCATTTGCTCCCTCTGCTGGTCATTGAACAGGCAGCAAAACGTTTCCAATCAATCCCCGTAGTGCCATCCAACACCCCTAAAAAATTAAATAATTAAAATAATAAAATAAAATATATCTTTAATGAAGACACCTTAATTAAATTTAGCACATTTATTTAAACATCACAACAAAAATGTATTACATTAAATTTCGACGTTTCAATTATTGAAATATTTATTCAATATAATTTAAATGTACAATGATATCTTACATAAACCCACATTGTATTATACAGATTTATATATTAATACGTAACTGATATTATATTATATCATATTATATTATATTTAGAGAGAAGTGAACAGAGAAGTGTTTTCTTTCTTGAAGGTAAACTACATTACCCACAACGCATCTCTTCGTGTGACATGCGCCGTCACTACAGCTAAAGGTATGCTATTGCTTATGTCAACAACCAGATACGAGTCAAATAACTATAAGTAACATAAAAATATGCATGCTATATTTAAATAATTTGTTATCGTATATTTCGTAGGGTCTAAGGGCGTACGTTTTGAGTGTTTTAGATAGTCACGTTAACTATCGCAGGTAGGCGGAATAGCTGAATAGCTGCGTTAGCTGTCTTTACATGCGTGATCAGATTGTTTCTGTTCACTGACATTGCATTCAAGTAACGATTTATTTTGTTAAAATGCCTGTAATTTTGAATTTAAATTTAATTTATTTAACTTATTAAGCAGACATACAAAGATGTGCTGATTTTGTTTCATACCCGCTTACATAGGAAGAAGAGGACAGCCTCAAGACTAAACGCTGTGATCAATACTCTGGATTGAGTGATTTTAGCTAAAAATGACCAGCTCGCAGTACCTGTGAGTCTTCAACCCCAGTAAGATACCTGCATACACCCAAGCTTTGTTCCAGCTGTATAATAAATCCTCTGCGTTCTTCAGAGTAGTGCCATTATGAAGCATGTAACAAACACCTTCATATTAAAGAACCACAGCATCACAAGATCGATCTATATATATATATATATATATATATATATATATATATATATTTAT